CTGCTGCATGCGAGCTCTTAGCTGCAGCATGCAGACTCCTAGTTGCGGCATGCATGTGGGATCTAGTTCCCCGACCAGGGGTCAAGCCCGGGCCCCCTGCACTGGGAGCAAGGAGTCTTACCCACTGGATCACCGGGGAAATCCCCTCCTCCCAGCATTTAGCAGCACACCGCGTCATTGCAGACCTGAACGTTTCTGGTGAGAAGGCTGTTATCAGCTTTCCCTCTTTATGGCCCTATGTTTACCCACAAGACTTCTCCGCCAGTGCGAATGCATTTGTGTTCTCACCTGCACACACTCATGACACATGTCCACATGTGTGCCCTCAAAAGCCTTCACAAACTCCTACGTAAATATGCATGAGACCTCAGGTGAGAACTCGGAGGAGGAAGCATCTGTAGGACTAGAAATTATGTCTTGTTGGTTTTGAAATCTCATATGCCTGTTCATGTGCTCTAGTTACTGCCACGTAAAGGCAAGAAGCCGTTTTGATCTCAACTGCCTGTCGGGTCTCACTTTATTCGGTGACCGACATTAATGAACTGGTAATTCATTACTTTCTATGTCTTGAGCATCCTCCAAAGGAGATCTTGGCAGATCAGTATCCATTTCACTGTTCTTTGCCTGTTCTGCCATCCTGTGGGCAAGGAACACAAATGCTTTGGAGATTAAAGACCCAAGTTTCATTTGAAAAGAGCGTTAAGGATCAGAGATATTTTTCCCTCCAGGGGTGAGGGAGAAGTGGGAAGGTCACCTGGAGAAGATATGAGTTCCAAATCAAGGAAGACTGACTCCTTTCACTAAATCTTTACAACTGGTTCAGGCTGGAGAATTTGCTCCTCTGAATGCAGTGCTCCTCAGAGGAGCTGGCACTTATTAGCACTACCAGGTACCAGGCAAGGAATTCCTACAGCGATCCTCCTGGTGGCCAGCTTGGTAGGCATTATCATTGCATTATCTTCATCTTACAGATGAGCCTGCTGAGGCTCAAATGGCTAAGTAGCGTGCCCAAATTCCCAAAGCCAGTTCGTGGGAGAGCCAGGATGTTTTGAAAATAAACTGGGAATATAAACAGGAAATATAAAAAGTTTCATTAGGAAATTACATACAAAGGAATCTAGGTTATACATACACACACATATATATGTATACATATATATAAATAATGAAGCAAAATAATAGCATGAATACTCATGAACCCATTAACTTAAGAACACCATCAGTGCCACTGAGTTTCCCAGTGTGTCCCTATACTCCTGCCTCGCTGCCCTTAGATCCTGACTTTTTTATTCCTTTGATTTTCATTAATGTTTTATCCCAGAAGTAAGTGTCCTTAGTTTTGCTTAATTTTTTTAAAAAAATTATTTGGTTGTGCTGGGTCTTAGTTGCGACAGGCGTGCTCCTTAGTTGCAGCACGTGTGCTCCTTAGTTGCGGCTGGCAGGCTCCTTAGTTGTGGCATGCGAGCTCTAAGTTACGGCATGCATGTGGGATCGAGTTCCCTGACCAGAGATCGAACCTGGGCCCCTGCATTGGGAGCGTGGAGTCTTAACCATTGTGCCACCAGGGAAGTCCAGTTTTGCTTAATTTTTAAGTATATAAAAATGGAAAGATATTTTACATTTCTTCCGTGACTTATTCACTCAAAATTGCTTGTGACTTCCATTCATGTTGATATGTGTACTTACAGTTCTTTTTTTTCCCTGATATATAGGACTCTATTATATGAATATACCAGAATGTTGTCATCCCTTCTCCTGTTACTGGACACTTCACTTGTTTTTAGCTTTCCACTATTATATCAAATGCTGCTATAAATGTCCATGTACCTGCCTCTTGGTGCATGTGTATAAGAGTTTCTTTAGGGCATATACCTGGAGGAGAGTGGCTGCATCACAGGGAATACATATGTTCAACTTTTACATGATAATCTAATATTCTTCCCCAAAGTGGTTGTATCAACTTATAGTCCCACCAGAGTGTGTGAGGGTTTCCATTGGTTCAAATTCTTGCTATCATTTGAATTTTACAGAACTTTCAATTTTGGCCAAATTAGTGAGTGCAAAACGGTATGTCACTGTGATTGCTAGGAGTTTGTCAAATTTGTTTTCAAATTCAGTGGCATTAAGCTGAGTCACTGGATGGGGCAAGGGGTTAGCATTCCAGACAAAGGGAATCACTGGGGAAAGTGTCTTTGTCCATTTGGGCTGCTATAACTTAATACCACAGACTGGGTGGCTTATAAAGGAAAAAAAATTTATTCCTTAAAATTCTGGATGCTGGAAGTCCAAATTTAGAGTGCCAGCATGACTGTGTAAGGGCCCTCTTCCAGGTCACAGACTTCTTGTATTCTCACATGATGGAAGGTACTAAGGCTCCCTGGGGTCTCTTCTTATAAGGTCACTAATCCCCTTCATGAGAGCTCCACCCTCATGACCTAATTATCTCCCAAAGGTTTCACTTCCAGATACCGTCATATTGGGCAGTAGGATTTCAACATGTGGATTTTGGGGGGACACAAACATTCAGATCATAGCAGAAAGAGTTCAGAGTCAGCTCAGAAGTTAGTACATTTAGAGAACAGAAAAAAAAATCACCATAGGTGGAACATAATGAGTTCACCCCTGCCTAGTTAGCTAACCTCTCAGTACCTCACGTCTTGCCTGACTTGACCTGTGAAAACTGCCCAACCCCACCTGCCAGTCCTTATCTCTTCTGACCAGCCCTCAATGCTTGCATCATATAATGTGGTGAAATTGTGTTTTAATTTTAACCAAGTTGATTCACATTGGGTCTTTTGCTTCTTATCTTTTATCAGATAGGTTTAACATTTGGATGAACTTCCGGAAGTTTATTCCAAAATATCTTTCTTATCATTCCACCATGGTTCATTGTCAATTCCACTTTGATCATCAAGCAACTTTATTTTTCTTTTTATAATTTTTCTTTTATTTATTTTTGGCCATGCCACTTGGCTTTGGGATCTTAGTTCCCCGACCAGGGATCGAACCCAGGCCCCTTGCAGTGAAAGCACGGAGTCCCAACCACTGGACTGCCAGGGAATTCCCTCAAACAACTTCAAAACTGATTTTTGAAGCACATGTGGACTCTCACATGGAGTCCTGAAAAATGTGTGAGAATGAATTTTCAGGAATTTATTTTAGAACTTTCTTTGGCCTATAATGGGGATAGAACCTGTTAACTCAGCAGCTGTGAATTATGGTTATATTTATTCTTTGGAAAATTTAGTTGCTGGTTGAGTGAATGTGATAGTCTAACTCAGGTTTGCCCACTGGATTGCAATATATAGACATAAAAAACAAAACCCAAGATTAGGATTTTAATAATCATGAAGTAAGTGGTGTATTTTTTGGCTCTCTGTGGTAGCTCGATTCTGATGGTGGCCCTCAAGGAACCACACTATCTGGTATTTGTACTCTTGTGCAATCCCTGCCACATTGGCCTCTGGCCGGTGCTAACCAGTAGAATGCTGTGGAAGGGATACTGTGTCAGTTCCAGATCCAGTCTTTTTTTTTTTTTATTTAATATTCAACATTTATTTTTTCCAACTTTATTGGTGTGTAATTGACATATAACATTGTGTAAGTTTAAGGTGTACAATGTGATGATTTAATATATGCATATATTGTGAAATGATTACCACAAAATTAGGTTAGTTAACACAGCCATCATCTCACATAGTTACATTTTTTTATGTGTGTGGTAAGGACTTTTAAGATTTAATCTCTTAGCAACTTTCAAGTATACAATGCAGTATTGTTAGCTCTAGTCACCATGCTATACATTAGATCCCCAGAAATTATTCATCTTATAACTGGAAGTTTGTACCCTCTGACCACCTTCGCCCATTCTTCCTCCCTGCGCCTCTGGAAACTGTCAATCTACCCTCTTTTTAGATTCCACATATAAGTGAGATCATATAGTATCTGTGTTTCTCTGTCTGACTTACTTCACTTAGCGTAACACCCTCAAGGTCCATCATGTTGTCACAAATGGCAGGGTTTCCTTCTTTTTATTGCTGAATAATATTCCACTGTGTGTGTATATGCACATATACACACACTACAGTTTCTCTATCCATTCATCTGTCAACGGACATTTAAGTTGTTTCTATGTGTTAGCTATTGTAAATAATGCTGCAGTGAATATGGGGGTACAGATACCTCTTTGAGATAGTAATTTCATTTCCTTCAGATATATACCCAGCGTGATTGCTGGATCATATGGTATTTCTAGTTTTAATTTTTTGAGGAACCTCCACACTGTTTTCCAAAGTGGTTGTACTAATTTACATTTCACCAATAGTGTACAAGGGTTCCCTTTTCTCCACATCCTTGCCAGCATTTGTTATGACTTGTCTTTTTTATAGTAGCCATTCTGACAGGTTTGAGATGATATGTCATTGTGGTTTTGGTTTGCATTTCCCTGATGATTAGCGATATTGAGCACCTTTTCATGTACCTGTTGGCCATTTGTATACCTTCTTTGGAAAAATGTCTATTCAGATTATTTCCCCATTTTTAAATCTGATTATTTGTTTTACTGCTGTTGAGTTTTATGAGTTCCTTATATATTTTTGGATATTAACCCCTTATCAGGTAGATGGTTTGCAAATATTTTCTCCAACTCTGTAGGTTGCCTTTTCATTTTGTTGATTGTTTCTTTTGCTGGGCAGTGGCTTTTAGTTTGATATAGTCCCACATGGTGAGTTTTGCTTTTGTTGCTTGTGTTTTTGGTGTTATATCAATAAAATAATTACAAAGACCAATGTCAAAAAGCCTTGTCCCTATGTTTTCTTCTGGGGGTTTTATGGTTTCAGGTCTTACATTTAAGTCTTTAACCCATTTCCAGTTAATTTTTGTGAGTGGTGTAAGATAGGGGCCAGATCCAGCCTTTAGGACTTACTGGCAGTTTCTGCTTCCTTTCTCTTACAATGATCACTTTTGTGACCCCTGAGCCAACATGTACAAAGTCTAGCTACCTTTCTGCAGAGACCATGTGGAGAGGTCATGTGGAGGGGAGAGGCCCTGAGACCATATGGAAAGACAGAGCAGTCCAGTTATATCAGGGTCCCAGTCAAACTTCCAGATGACTCCAACCCCAGCCATCGTGTGACTGCAACTGCATGAGAAATTCAGGCCAACAGAACTTCACCACTGAGCTCAATAAACCCATAGAATCATGATAGAAAATAGAATGAGGATTATTTAGAGCTCCTAAGTTTTAGGGTGGTTTGTTATGTTAATCAAAATAGCAACTGGTATGTAAAGGTCTGGACCCAGTTCATGTGTATGTGTGTGTGTGTGTGTGTGTGTGTGTGTGTTGGGGGGTGGTTGTGAGCAGGGGAGGCTGTAGGACACAAGCTGGGTGTCCTACAGTTCAGCTCAGTTGTGACACTATCTACCTGGAGATGGTGTCAGATTCCAGAGATTAAAGGTTCAGTCCTACAAGTCTGCCCTCCCTCCTCAGATGCCAATCCCAAGTCCAGATTGTTACCTGTACTTCTGATCTACTTTCTATATATCATAGGTTCCCATGATCCCCTCCTTGGGTTCTATTAATTTGCTAGAGTGGCTCACAGAACTCACAGAAATGTTTTACTTACTAGATCATCTCTTTATTATAAAAGGGTATAACTCAGGAACAGTCAGGTGGAAAAGATGCATAAGGCAAGGTGTTTGGAAAGGGCACTGAGCTTCCGTGCTTTCTCCAAGCATGCCAGTCTCCCCAAATCTCCATGTGTTCACCAACCTGGAAGGTCTCAGAACCTTGTCCTTTTGGGTTTTTATTATGGAGGCTTCATTGCGTAGGCACAGTTGATTAAATCATTGGCTGCTGGTGATTGAACTCAATCTCAAGCCCCCCTCCTCTCCTTAGATCTGGGGGAGGGGTGGAGGTAGGGGGGAGTGACTGAAAGTTCTAACCCTCTAATCACATGGTTGGTTCCCCTGACAACCAACCCCCATTCTGAGTTGCTTTCCAAAAGTCACCTCATCAACATAAACCCAGTTGTGGTAGAAAGGGGCTTGTTGTGAATAACAAGACATCCATTTCACCTTCACAGCTCTAAAGCTATTTCAGGAACAGAGGACAAGGGAGCAAATATTATGACAAAAGGTGCTCCCACTGCTCTTGTCGTGCAGGAAAATTCCAAGGGTTTTGGGACCTGTGAGCCAGGAGCCATGGACAAAGACCAAATTTATATGAGATATATTTAGGCCATCTGGATAACCAAATATATATTTCTTATAAATCACAGTATGTGAAAGCAGACTGCTGACATAACAAAAGTCTAAAACATGTGTCAGCATGCACAAGCTGAAATGGCCTAGTAGAAACTGTTAGTGAAGGCTGAAGGAAAGATTCATTTTTGGGATCACTCAGCCACAATGTAAGAAGTCTAACGAGGGAATGGCCAAAATGGCAGAGTAGGAAGACCCTGAACTCCCATGGCCACACCAAAATTACAACTACTTACAGAGCAACTATTGATGAGGAAGACCTGCAGACTAGCAGGAAAGATATTGTACAATGAAATATATAAAGAAGGACCCACAATGAGTTGGGTAGGAGGGGAGGAGATGTGGTACAGTTAAGACCAATACCCGCCCCCACCCCTGGGCAAGCGGGCAACCCACAAAGGGGAGGATAATTACAACTGCAGAGGTTCTCCCAAAGGAGCAAGGTGTCCAAGTGCCACATCAAGCTGCCCAGCCTGGGGGTGCTGTGCCAGGAAGACAAGCCTCCAGAACATTTGGCTTTGAAGGCCAGGGGGCTTAGTTTCAGGAGGGCCAGAGGGCTGGGGGAAATAGAGGCTCCTCCCTTAAAGGGCACACACAAAATCTCACATGTTCCAGGACCCAGGGCAGAAGCAATAATTTGGGAGGAGCCTGGGTCAGATCCACTCGTTGATCTTGGAGAGCCTCCCAGAGCGGCAGGAGGCAACTGCAGCTCACCCTGGGGACACAGACACTGGCAGCAGCCATTTTTGGGAGCTCGGTCTACCACAAGGACACTGGTGCTGGCAAACACCATTTTGGAATCCTTCTAGCTTATTAACACTAAGACCTACCAGCCTGTCAGCACCAGTACTCAGACAACTCAGGACAAGCAGCTGGCCAGGTGGAGACTTACCCACCAGCAGGCTGGCTGCCTTAAGACCCCCAAACCTCCAGCCACCCCAGAACCAGGCCCCCTACACCAGGGCACCCAGAACCTGGCCCTGCCCACTAATTCACTGGCACTCCCCCCCCCCCCCCCGACAGGGCCCTGCAGCCAGCCTTTGATACCCTGCCCTGCCCACCAGCAGGACAGCACCAACTCCTCCAGCCCCATGGCCCTGCAGCCAGAGACCACAGGATACTATACATAGAAGATCCTAAAGATACCACCAAGAAACTACCCAAACTCATCAATAAATCAGGCAAAGTTGCACGATACAAAATTAGTATGCAGAAATCTGTTGTGTTTCTGTATACTAACAATGAACTATCATTAAGAAAACAATCCCATTTATAATTGCATCGAAACAAATAAAATACCCAGGAGTAAATCTAACTAAGGAGGTAAAAGACCTATACTTGGAAAACTGTAAGACATTGACTGAAGAAGTTGATGACACAAACAGATGGAAAGATGTACTGTGTTCATGGATTGGAAGAATTAATATCATTAAAATGACCGTACTACCCGGGGTAATCTACAGATTCAATGCAATCCCTATCAAAATACCAATGGCATTTTTCACAGAACTAGAACAAATAATTGTTCATCTACCCCTGTAAACAAAATTACCTCATGCTGCCCTATATACATCCAGGACCCACAGCTATAAAGTATCTTTATGTAAAACAAAAAAATGGGGAATTCCCTGGCAGTCCAGCGGTTAAGACTAGGTGCTTTCACTGCTGTGGGCCCGGGTTTGATCCCTGGTTGGGGAACTAAGATCCCACAAGCCGCATGGCATGGCCAGAAATAAATAAATAAATAAAATATTTTTTAAAAAAAACCCAAAATAGATATAAAATTTTTCAAAATAAAAAATATACAAATTTAAAATATTAAAAAATCAAATTTAAGAAAAGCTTTGGCAGTGGCACAGATGGTCATTACAGTCTTGGCTGTGGAGTCAGATGGCCCTCACACCAAGTTTCTGCTTAACTGTTAACGTGGGTAGGTCATTTCAGCATTTTGTGACTTTAATTCGTTAATCCGTCAAATGGGGTATCAAATGACAAAAATGATACAATTTAGTAATGAGTGCAAAGTCCTTTATTTGAGGGAAAACAATCCATGATTGGGAGTGTATGGTGCCTCACAAGCAGTGGAGCACTCTTCCTGAGGGGTTTTGGCAAGAGCAAGTTTTTATAGAACATTAGGAGAAGCAATGCAGAAACAGGGCATGATTGGCTAGGAGTCAAGGATTTCCTGGTAAGGCTAGCAGTGTGTTTTCTTGGGTAAGATGAGCTAGCTAAACTTGACTAGGGGGACTTCCCTGGTGGTGCAGTGGTTAAGAATCCGCCTGCCAATGCAGGGGACATGGGTTCGAGCCCTGGTCCGGGAAAATCCCACATGCCGTGGAGCAACTAAGCCCGCCCATGTGCCACAACAACTGAGCCTGTGCTCTAGAGCCCACGAGCCACAACTACTGAAGCCCGCGTGCCTAGAGCCCGTGCTCCGCAACAAGAGAAGCCACCACAATGAGAAGCCCGAGCGCCACAAAGAAGAGTAGCCCCCGCTCACCGCAGCTAGAGAAAAGCCCACGCGCAGCAATGAAGACCCAACACAGCCATAAATAAGTAAATAAGTAAGTAAGTAAATAAATAAATATTTTTAAAAAATGAAGTTGACTTGGAGGATAGTGACTGGTGTATGTTAGGTTTCCTAGACAGTGAGGTGTTTCCTGTAAGTGTGGGGTGGCATAGGTTTAGATTTCCGTATGGGCCCCTGGGTCTGCCTTCATTTTGTGGGTGCCAATATACAAATTTCCTTTATCAGAAGGAAATGGTACCTATCTCTTCTCAGATTTGTTATGAGGACAAAAATAATCATAAACATTCTGATTACTTTAAAGCTATAGGAATAAATGTTTTTAACAAAAAAGCTATAAGAATTTATTTTTATTATATCATCAGCAGTTAGCCAAACTGTGCTTGAAGGCTGCAAGTTAGTCAACCGACCCTCTCTCTGAATCCTGGTTTACATCTGCAAGAATGTTGGCTAACCATTGTCCATCCATGACAATGAGATTATGGTCTGAGGAGTCATCATTCACTTGCATTAACTGTTATTGACCTATTTTTGTCCATCCACGACAATCAGGTTATGGTCTGAGGAGTCATCATTCACTTGCATTTAACTATTATTGACCTATCTCTCTCCCACTGTCTTTGGCCTGTATCCTTGCCAGTATCTCTCAGACACTGCCTGTCATTTGGGGACCTGCTTCATGTTCAGCTCTAAGCCATTGCCCTCAAGTTTTTTCATACACCTGGTTACTCATCTGTCTGTAGCTGAGACAATTTTTTTTGGTATCTGTCAATCTTCAAGTAACTCCCCAATTACACTCTTGTTCTGAGACAAAGCAGGTTCTCCAGCTAGACTCACAAAGCTCCTTCTGGACTTCAGCTTCTGATCAAGATGGAGCAATCTGGGCCAGATTTACACTCCCACATGAAGCAATGAAAAAAAAAAAAATGGAAACAGTAGTCTCAAGATGCAAGACATCAGACAACAAAGAACAGTGATTCTGAGAGATGAGAAACAAGGTGAACACTACAGTATCCCAGCTTACTACCTTGAGAAAGTTTCCAGGCCACAGTGCACAACGGGAACCCAGGTGTAGACAGGCAGAGTTTCTGTGGACTTATAATATATGTAGAAGTATGATATATGGCAATAATAGCACAAAGGCCAGGAGAGGAGAAATGAAAGTATGCTATTCCTTGGTTCTTATAATATATGTGAAGTTGTATAATATCAATTGCAGGTAGACTGTGATAAGTTGAAGTAAATCCTAAGACAATCACTAAAACAGTAGAACAAAGAGTTAAAGGTAATTAGCTAACAGCGGAGGTAAACTATAATCATAAAAATACTCAGTTAATCT